CTGTACCACATTTAATTTACCATTGCCCTGTGTGGCAGGGGGTCACAGAGCCACAGTGCAGCCCCACAGAGTGTCAGAGAACAGGAATGACAGCCCAGTGGCCTCATCAATTGGCTGTTCGAGAAAAGCTGAGAATCCAGATCTTTTATATAAAATTTCTCTATTTTCAAATGTTGACAAGTAATCACATAAAAAAAAATACAAATCCAAGATATGGCCCATAGGCTACTAGTTTGCAACCTCCACCTATCCCTGCTTTGTAAAGGAAGAAACAGTCTCAGAAATAAAGTGACTCAACCAAGGAGACCCCCGACTTAATAGCTGAGCTGGGGCTCCAACCTGGTGGTCTTACTATCAGCCCAGTTCCTTTTCTGTTCCTCCATGGGTTAACAGAGGTGAAAATACCTCCTGAACCCTAAAGTCCTGTAGAAATAGAAGGCCCTACGAGTACAGCAAATAATATGACGACACCACTGATTGCCATTCTGGTCACTGAGATGACAAACTCCAAGAAAGCTCTAGGGGAAGCCACCATCAGGGCAAATGGGGACACACCTGCTGGCTCCTGGGCACGCCGTATCTGAGGTCATTGACGAAGTCCTCACAATTCCCTTCGATCAGGCTGTACTGCACGATCTTGTTGACCATCTGTTTCGTACGTTGCATGATCTTGTCCACAGGCAGGGGCAGGTACATCCCATCGAGCTTGTTGTTGATCTTCCAGGAGCAGCCGTGCAGCACGTCCTCCAGGCAACTGTATTTCACAACAGCACAGTTGCTAAAAATAGAAGTGATACTGTCGACCCCAAATTCCTCACCTAGAGACCAAAGACAACAGTTGGAAAGTGCAAGGAGTAGCACCAGCTCAGTCTAAGACTTTGGGTAAGCCCCTTCCACTTCCATTGGGCCTTGTTCTCACCATCAATAATAAAAGGCGTGCCAGGGGTGGGAGGCAGTTGAGTTAAATGAACTGCAAAGAGCCACCTTTCCCAAGAAGCCATTTGCCCTTCACTGTACTCCCCACTTTCAACCCCCTCAGGAGTCTCTTTCTTGTTAAACTCTAGAAGTACCTTACCCTGTGGCCCCAGGATGTGTTGTACTGACCTGCCCAAGCCCTAGGATTTGAGTCTTGTTTCCTAACCAGACTTCAGTGATCTTCACGAGTGTGCAATGATCACCCTCTATGTAAGTGTCAGTTCCTGGGTAAGGGGCTATCATGTACATGATCAGGGTGGTTCCATGACATGCTCTCTCTGTGGCCACTGCAGGGGCACAGGTGAAGCCAGGCAGACAGGGCCCTATATGGTACCCGCTACCACCGGCTTCCATCTACAGCCACCTGGTCGTTATCTCTACTCAAAGATAGGGATTCTCATGAAGGGTTTGTTTGAAAATAGAGTGAATGGATGGGACAGAGGAGAGAGGCAGTGAGAAAGGGACTCTTCTCTGTGCAACGGTCCCAGTGAGGTGAGAGACTGGGCCAGAGGAGGACAGGACACAGGGATGACAGCTGTAAACAAGTTGTGACTAAAGGCCTTCGTTACAGTGCCTTCTTTAATTTAATTTTGAATGGGTAATGCTTGCACAGGATACAAAATTCTAAAGGCATCAAAGAGTATGCTATGGAGTCTCACTCCCTCCTCATCTCTCAACTGCTCCCCCTAGCAGGTCCCATCTCCTGGGGCAACCGCTGTGACCAGTGGTTCTGGACATCCAATTGAAAGTTCTTTCCCACGCTATTGTAATCGTCCTGTATTGTCACCACCTCCTCCCCATCAAATCTCCACCAAAATTTAATTAACCACACGTTTAATCTCAGCCTTGTGTTAATGCTGTCTTGAGAAATGAAAGGAGGACTGCCTCCACAATCAGAGTGAAGAGCCTGGAGAATGTTGGAACAGCAGGGAGATGAGGTGAAGATGAAGGTGCTGAAGATGGTCAGGAAGCTGGAAGCAGCATTTTGGGACAATAGGAAACAAGTGACAATCAGAACGTGTAAGCATCTGCACCCTTCCCAGGGAATTCTTGGAAATATGAGGGAAGGCGTGCTGAACAGTTGTCAACACAAAATGGAGCTCAAGTTCTAAAATTCGCATTCTCAAAGAAAAGCGTGCTCTAGGAGGTCAGGGAACTTGGGGGACACTGTTTACACTTGTATCACTCTCAGGGCTGGATATTCAGTGATTATGGGTGAACAGAGACCGAGATCCATCACACAGTAAATAAAGGTCCAGTAATGCTTCAGAGAGTTCCACTGCCACAGGGCAGCAGCTGAGGAACACAGTAGTTAACTGTGCTTCCATTTCCTTTGCTGACATCAACATCAACAATTCAATTGAGTCTTACTCGGGGGAGCCAGGTGGACCACGCAGTCATCTTCCACGTAGATGGCCCAGTGCTCATAGCCAATGCGAAAAATCTCAATCAGGTCTCCAGGTCTGGGTCTTGGTTTGCTCTATAATGGG